CTCGGGAGTCTGCTGCCCAAAGTAGCGGTTCTTATGAAGAAACTCTCAGAAGGGAACATCTTTCCTAACAATGGAATACGGTCAGTGATGAGTATGATTCGACCCTACGGACTTGTGCTCTAACGGTCTGAATTAGTCGAAGTAAAAACGTCAGAAATTTACCACGTCTGCAGGCAAAGTGGAGAAACTCATCACCCACAAGAATTTGCAGATGTTTTTGGATCCTGTCAAGGGTGGCTAGTGTGGATTGAGAAGCTCCAGCTCAGACACGACAGTAATGCTCCATTTTAATTTTTTTTTGTCTGAGCTAATTCTTGTAATGATGACGCTGGACATGACTCTATAAACGCTGCAAAAAGATGATTAGCAGTTCCAGCCAAGATATGGCAGCAATGGTCTATTTTTTGGTGTTGTTTTTCTTCTTTTTTTGTTGTCTGATCTGACTCTTGGAAATATAAATTCATCTTTACCAATGTATCATATAAATGAGTTCAACCTGAGGTACATTGTAAACTTGAGTCCCAACAGATTAGAGCAACAGACTTAAATAAAGAAGTTTCATTGAGAATAAGATTGTTCAGCCCGAAAGAAGAAAATTCAGAACCTGAAACGGTAATGTTGAAAAGTTACTATCTTGTTCTTTTTTCTCAATCATTCCACCCCAATCGAAGCAATAAAGCCACTACGATGCAAGAGATTACTAAATGTTAGAGGATATGAGAAAACCTACTATTAAAGAGAGTGGACAGTAAAAGAACAAGAATTAATAAGACACGATAAAGCTTGACATTGCATATAATTTTTTAAAGATCAAAGTCGACTGGGAAGCAAGACACCAGAAGAGAGTTCCACAAGCGAGAAGTGCGATAGAAGAAACGGTTAGCATAGAACTTACGGTTAAATCTAGCCATTGAAAATGTAAAAGGATGAGGCATTGTTACTTAAATATATAAAGTCTATGTACTAAACAGGAAAGCACATCAAAACAATTAGCATGAAGATATTTATAGAAAAGAAACAGAGAAGCTATGTCACGGCGGCAGGAAAGCGACCGAAGCCGAGATGCTAGGTCAGAACCAATAAAATTGCAGATTCTTTGGATTTTATCAAAAATCTCTAAATATATAACAGGAACACCGTACCAGATGTGCCAGCAATATTCAAAGCAAGGACGAATGGGAGACTTAGATATTATTTGTTTTGTTTAAAGTATTGGCTTTGTCTGAAGTTACATGATCTGCTTTGTAGCCTTATATATATATATATATATATATATATATATATATATATATATATATATATTCATTTTTTCATGATGGTATTTTACAAGATATTCGTTTTAGGTTTCGATTATTAAGTAACGTAGTCAACATTAATTTTCGTCTCTATGTTCCTGTAAATTTCTTTATTATTCATTTAATTTGGTCACATATTTATTGATTTCTATCTATCCTACTTATCCTCATAAACTTCACTTCTTTCTACGACAACTTACGTCATGTTGCATTCAGTAACCCTCTACTAAAAATGAGGTAGTATAGTAAACATAGGTGGTTTCCTCTACAGTGGGGGTCGCAGGTTCGATCCCTGCTGGGGAAAGCAGAAATTTCATCAGAACAATTACCATGAAAGTATTTACAGAAAAGGTACGGGGAAGTTACGTTACGAAGGTCGAAAATAGACTGAAAGCCGAGATGCCTTGTCAGGACCAATAACATTGCATATTCTACTTTAAACATTATTAAGAATTTCTAAATATATAGCAAGATCACAAGACCAGATGTGGCAGCAATTTTCAAAGCAAGGACGAATGATAAACATAAAAATATGTGAGATATATTCGAAGACTATTATCCGTCTTTATTTTGAATATTGCTGCCATATTTGGTCTGGTTAGGGAGGTTTTCAACTTTACAAGTCAGTTTTTTCCACACTGAGATGTTATAGCTTGATCTTATTTGTTTAGTTTAAGGTATTGGCTTTGTCTAAAATTACTTTATCTGCGTTATATATCGTGCATAAATTTGCATTTTTTATGATGGTATTTTACAAGGTATTCTTTTTTAAGTTTCGATTATTAAGTAACGTAGTCAAAATTTATTTTCATGTCTGTGTTCCTGTTAATTTGTTTATTATTTCCTTAATTTGTTTTCATATAGATTGATTTAAATTTTTTATTTATTTTAGTTTAATTACTTTTTTTTTCTTATTCTTTTCAGGTTTTCGATTTCTAAGTAACGTATTAAAAAATTGTTTTCGTTTCTGCATTTTGAGAATTTGTAATTTTGATGGTCTGGGAAGGTAATCATAGCTATCTTCTCCTCCAGACAGAGTTTGCAGTTTTTGCATTTATTCTTGTAGGCGGATGGTATTTTCTTTATTTTCGATTTTATTTTTGTTGTAATTTGATTTTTGTTTTAAATTTCTATATGTTTAGGAAATATTGAGCTGTTTGCGAGCAAAATCACAACACACATGGCCTGAAGATTGCGTTTAATCATGTAAAAGACTTTCACATATATCTAATGAAATCAATGCCCACTTTTACATATATATATGTGTGTGTGTGTGTGTGTGTGTGTGTGTGTGTGTGTATGTAATATACCATATATAAACTAAAATCTAAAATTTGAGTTATGTATATATATATATATATATATATATATATATATATATATATATATGTGTGTGTGTGTGTGTGTGTGTGTGTGTGTGTGTGTGTGTGTGTGTGTGTGTGTGTGTGTGTGTGTGTGTGTTTACGGCTCAGAGAGAAAGCTCATAAGTTTTTGTCTTATATACATCAATATATTTTATTCATGTGTGTATGTATACAAGTGTGTTGTCAGTGTGTGCATATATATATATATATATATATATATATATATATATATATATATATATATCCTATATTACAATATCACAAATCCTATCCTAACATCAACTTCTCCAAATGGCACGTCAGCAAACTGCTTTATTGACCGTTTGTCTATGTGTGTGTGTGTGTGTGTGTGTGTGTGTGTGTGTGTGTGTGTGTGTGGAGGAGCAGGTGTTTGCTCAAGAAAAGGTGTGTAATTTACAGCTCATAAACAGATATGCTTGTCTGTATATTCATATATATGAGGATATTTATGTGTGTGTGGCTGCGCGCGTGCGTCGCCAGCCTTTTTGCACACAGACGTCGTCATGAAGCCGAACGGAGAATGCTTTCCGTTGCAAGTAACTACGTGGTGGTGATGATGGTGGTGGTGGTGGTGGTGGTGGTGAAGCAACGGTTGAAAGCAATACAGGTAGAAAAGAAGGCGAAGAAAAAAGGAGGAACAAGAAGAAGACCAGAAGAAGAAGAAGTAGAAGAAGACGTGCTTGAGAAGTGAGTTGATGTCCTGACAGCAAGTCAAGGAGTGGCAAAACTCAGAACAATATTCACCAACGCCAGGAGCTGCGAAATTGTGAGCTGACCGCTTCAGCATGTTGGCAAGTGGACGAAAGTAGACAGGACGGACTTATTAGAGGAATAAGAAGTGCATTAATGGACGACGGAAAGTTAAATGGGTAGCATGGGGTTGGAAGAGGGTGGTCAAGAAGAAGAAGAAGAAGAAGAAACGTAGTGTTAATTGAAAGAAGGCGAGGAGGAGCAGGTAGGAGAGGATACATGCAAAGAAGAAGAAGAAGAAGAAGAAAAAGAAGAGGAACAAGAACTAGAAGAAGAAGAAGAAGAAGAAGAAGAAGAAGAAGAAGAAGAAGAAGAAGAAACGTAGTGTTAATTGAAAGAAGGCGAAGGAGAGTAGGTAGAAGACGATACATGCAAAGAAGAAGAAGAAGAAGAAAAAGAAGAGGAACACAAAGAAGGAAGAAGAAGAAGAAGAAGAAGAAGAAGAAGAAGAAGAAACGTAGTGTTAATTGAAAGAAGGCGAAGGGGAGTAGGAAGAAGAAGAAGATACATGCAAGAAAGAAGAAGAAGAAAGAAAAGAAGAGGAACAAGAACTAGAAGAAGAAGAAGAAGAAGAAGAAACAAGAAGAAGAAGAAACGTAAGTTAATTGAAAAGAAGGCGAAGGGAAGAAGTAGGTAGAAGAGGATAAGAAGAAGAAGATGCAAAGAAGAAGAAGAAAAAAAAGAGGTTTTATAAAATGTCGTTCAAGAAGAAAAGAACAAGTCGTTGAAGAAGAAGATACAGATGAAAATTAAAAATTAGACGCTGAGGTAGATGAAAAATAGGTTGAAGAAGAAATAGTTCAAGAAAAGAAGAAGAAAAGCCGTGGAAGTAATAAAAGAAGAAAAAGAGATGAAAGATGAAAAGGTTGAAAAAGAAAAACTTGAGCGTTAAAAAGAAGAAAAATAGGTAGAAGTCATTCAAGAAAAGAAGAATAAAAGAGGAAGCCGTTCAATAAGAAGCGAAAGAAGAAAAGGAAAAAGAGTGTGAAGAAAAATTAGGTTGAAGAAGAAAAAGTACAGAGGGAAAAAATCGAAAAATGGGTAGAAGATGGCGACGAAGAAGAGTAGGAGTAAGAAGAAGAAGAAAGAAAGAAAGAAAGAAAGAAAGAAAGAAAGAAAGAAAGAAAGAAAGAAAGAAAGAAAGAAAGAAAGAAGTTAAAGACGAGGAATCTTTGAGAGAATAAGAAAAAAGAAGAAAAAAATTGTAGCAGTCGTTGAAGAAGGTGGACATGAAGAAGAAGGAAAGAAATTTTGAAGAAGAAGTCATTGAATAGGCTGAAGAAAAAGAATTGAATAAAAAAGGAGATAGAAGAAGAAAATTGATTGATAGATTCGTTTTTTACGGCTTATCAACATTGTGCAACATATTTAAAGCTATGATCATTTTTTTTTTTATTTTTACGATAATAATGTTTACCGGTACAAGTGTTACGAACTAATAATTGAAGAAGATGTGGGTTCATGCCTTTCCCAAGAGAATATGCGCGTAAGTGAAATTAAGGAACTCCAATTCAGTTCTCCGATTAACAATCCCGAGCCATTATCCATTATTCCATCCGCACATTCAAACTTACAGCACCCGGAATTCCCAAGCAGTCACCCATCTACGTATTGACTAGGGACGACGTTGCTTAAGTTCCGTGATCGCATGTAAACCGGTATTTCAACTTGATATGGCTGAAAGAAGAAGAAGAAGAAGAAGAAGAAAATCTGATGAAAGAAAAAAAACTCATAGCGAGGAAGATGAAAAGGAACGATGAAGAAACAAAAGAAAAAAGGAAGAATCAAGAAGAAGAAGAAAAAGAAAGTTGACGAAGGAAAAAACTCATAGAAGAAATGGGGCGATCAAGAAAGAAGAGAAAAAAGGAAGAATCAAGTGGAAGAAGAGGGAAAAGAAACGTGATGAAGGAAAAAACTCATAGAAGAAAATGTAGAAAGAGAGATAAAAGAAAAAGAAAAGAAAGAATCAAGAAAGAATCAAGAACAAGCACTTGGTTAAACTTGCAAGGTTCTTAGATAAAATAATAATAATAATAATAATAATAATAATAAGAAGAAGAAGAAGAAGAAGAAGAAGAAGAAATGGAAAGAGTGAAAGGCAAATGAAAGGAAAAGAATATTAACGAGATATTATTTCAGGTAAAATGAAGCAAAATGAATAAGTGTACAAGAAACAAAGGAGGGAGAAAGAGAAAGAAAAGAAGAAAAGAGCGAGACTGAGAAACAATGAAGAAATCTAAAAAGGAAAATGAAAAATGAAAGCAAACCACTTGAAACTAAAACGGAATGATGGAAAAAACGAAAAATCGTAAAAACTTAAAAAGGAATAATAACAGAATGGTGAATGTAAAAATGAATAGGAAAAAAAGAAAAAGAGGTTAAACAATATTATAAAGAATTGGAATTGAATGAAAGAAAAGAAAGATAGACAGAAGAAAAAGAAAACAGCAATATGCCAAGTAATGAAAAAAAATGAGATGAAATCGAAAGAAAATGGAGAGTAAAAGATGGAAGAGAAACGAGTAAAAATGGGAAAGAAATAAAACAAAATTTGAAGTGTGTGGAAAAAGCGGAGAGTGAAATTAAAAAAGGTGAAATTACAGACAGAAGAAGAAGACGGTAAAAAAAAGAAAAAGAAAAAAGGAAGTGAAAAAGAAAGTAAAACAGAATTAAATAAACGAATAAAATGAAACAAATAATAAGAAAAGGAAGACAGGAATAATAACAAAAAGAAAAATGAAGAAAACGTATAAGAAAATGGCGAATAAAAAAAAGGTAAAAAAAAGGATAAAGAAGGAAAAAGGAAAGAGATAGAAAAGACAGAAGGCAAAAAAGACGAAAAAGAAAAGGAAAAAGAGAGAAAAGTTAAATGAAAAAACAAGAGAAGAGGAAGAATGAAAAAATAATAAAAGAAAAAAATAGGCAAAAATGAGGGAATGGTGAAGAAGAAAAAAAAGAAAAGAATTGGAAAAGAAAGAGAACGGAAAAAGAGTTAAACGAGAAAATGAAGAATAAAAAGAAGAAATGGACCAAAAAAAGGTGAAGAAGAAGAAAAAGTAAAAGAAGAAAAAAGAAGAAAAAAGAAGTTAAATAATGAAGGAAAAAGATGAAAAATGAAAAAAAAGCAGAAAAATAAAAGAAAAAAATAAGAAAAGGGGAAAGAAAGCAGACTTAGTAAAATGAGAAAAGAAGAAAGAGAAAATGGAAATGCAAGTCAAATGAGAAAAAGTGAGAGGAGGAAAAAAAAGAGCAGAAAAGAATAAGAAAAAAGTATAAAAGAAGAAATAGAAGGGACAAGAAAAGTGAAAAGAAAGAAAAGAAAAAAGAGAAGAAAGGAATAAGAAAATGAAAAAAAAAGAGAAACAGAAGCGAAAAAGAAGAAAAAGAGAAGAAACGGAAGCGTTCGACCAGGATGGGTAGTAACTAGTATTAGCAGAAATATTAGCACGTAAGCGAATATAATGGTACCTCAGCACTATAGAGGAATTAAAAAACGAAAATTAAAATCTAAAGAAAACAGTTCAAATTCCAAAATTTAAACAAAGCGTGACCAAAAGTAACAACATCAGAGATATACAAAAGAACGAAAAATATTTAAACGTTGGGGAGAAGAAAATATGCCCCCCCCACCACCACCATCAAAAAGAAAAAAAGAAAAGAAAACTAACAGGGTGCTCATTCCTTGTGGAAGACAAATATAATTTTGACAAAAATATCTTGATTAAATTAAGATCAACTTACGAAGGCTCAGTTCTGCTTGTAAAAGGTAAACGGTGTCGAAAGCGGTCACTCGTTAGACTGATTACGAACTCATACTCCCTAAGCGTTTAAATACAGCTAAGTTTTAAAAAAGGAGACAATGCCGAACCTGATCGGTTCTTCGAGAGTTGACCGCTTACAAACACCCTTTACAGAAATCAACATTAACCTTCTACCAAAGAAAAGCTTTTTTTTAAAATGTCATCATCTCTTTATAGATTATTTGGTGCCGAAATTTTATTTTCTTAGGAGTTCTGAAGTTATAAAAATACCATATATGTTATTCTGCCTTCACAATTGTATACATGGTAGATGATACTCAGCTTTTGTGCATATAATATTTGTGTGGACATAATAGAAGTGGTGATGTGTTTTATGTTGTAGTTTTGTTGAAGTTATATCCTGGAATACAGTTTGATTTCTTTAAGAAATTGTAGGATATTATATGGATTAATGTCATAAAAGAGTTATTTCATGTTGATTGTTTTTTTTTAGTTGATATTGTTTAGCGGCATATCAACTTCTAGAAGTTATTTAATGCCGAAATCTAATTATTTTGAACGCTTCTACTAAATATATTTTGAACGCCATTGCATGCCTCCGAAAAATGTACTATTTGTAAGTTTACTATAAATATGTAGTGTTAGTAAATTTATCATACGTATTGTTAGTAATATTAATATAAATACATATTTTTATACTTTCATAGTGTTTGATTTTGTTGTTTAGGATGTTCATTATTTGCTCATATCTGGGACCCTAACAGGTACTATCACCCCGGATCAAGTGAACCTGGGTACAACAGTAATTTCCCCGCTCCTCAAAACCTCCCGATCAGATTTCTTGCTGCTAGATAAGAGATTATAGTTATATCTAGGACTAAGGAAGCATTCGTGGGAGATATTTCTGCCGCATCCTCTATAACAGACATAAAAATCATGATTGGTGAGGAGCAATCAAGAAAAAAATGATGTAAAAAAAAGCATTTAAAGAAAGAAGGAAAAGTTCAATATTTTCTTCTAAAAATCGACATGAAAAGAAAAAAAAATGGTAAAATAATACGAAGAACTCCAAAGAAACAGACCCTGTAAGAACGGCGACAACGGAATGTAAAACACTGCTGAGAAGCGTATTGACAGAACATCAGTGATTCAACCTTTGCTTTCTGGGTGCGCCCACACCTCCATCAATGCCAAGAGAAGAACCGGTGTCTACTCAAAATGTGTTCCGGCTAAAAACAAGTCCCCTAGTTTTCTTAATGTCGTTTGTCCTTCAGATTTTTGTGCGTTGGTTTTTTTTTTTTTTTCTTTTTGTTTATTTGTTGTTGTTTTTTGTTCCATTGCAATTTGAGTTGTGGCTTTCAATGCCCTACCTTTTCGTGACAACCACTCCAGGTTGCAAATGCTGCTTCCTAAGTGCTTTGAAAGCTTTTTCAAACTTGAAAAGAGCAAACAGAAAAAGTTGACTGCGTAGGAAACTAGAATTTATTTTACGTTTTTATCTATTTTTTTACCAGATTTTTGCTGTCATTATGGTAGTCGCAGTAGGGAAAAAGACAGGAAAATGTGGAGAACCATAATCGCATGTCCTGAAAGAATATCACATATTATTAGTGGGAAATTGAATTCATTAATGCCCAGCGTAAAGGCTGGTATTAATTATATACAAAAAAAAAACTTACTCATTTCACCCCAAGCAAGGCAATGAAGTTACTAAGCCTCAAGGGGGTTACTGATTGTGAAAGAATAAGACAGAAGATGTGAGAAGGTGTGAGAACAACACAAGAGGAATCAAGAAAGCAGGAATTGCTGGGGATCTCATTCAGGTCAAGGAAATCATGAAAAAAAAAATATCATTCAATTTTGCAAAGACATGATTTACTCATAAATGGAAAAAAAACACCTTTCAACAAGGCAACAATCGAAAACACTCTTGTAAATTATGTCAACGTTACCTCGAGTCAAAAAAATAAACAAAATTTTGGAAAAATCTCCTGACCTCTCTCTATTGAATTATTATAGGATGAATTGGAAAGGGGAATTCGAAGAGAATACCCAAAGAGTGAGAGTGAGCTTTTTCAGAACATGAAGAATGATGTAATGCCTTCCAACTATTTTGTTTCAAAAACTATTGGAAAAATGCCAAGAATTTGTAAAGCAGTAATTAAAGAGGTGACGGTTTTATTGATGAAAACAAAATATGATGTTGTTATATGTTAATATTTTTTTTATAATCAACTGCTTATTTTTGACAAAATAAAATCAAAAACTCTGTAGTTACTTAAATTTTATCTTTTATTTTAAAAACGTACACACACACACACATATACATATCTATATCTATACATATATATAATTTTAAGGTATTTTTAAAGAAATGCAGGGCAGCCTCTGATTGTAGTATATATATATATATATATATATATATATATATATATATATAGAACCATCCGATGCCCACTTAGACATACAAGAATCTTCATAAACTTACATATATATAGAATTATTTACGGTTTTTTTAATGAACGTGACACGTGACTGACTAATGAGAACTGATCCAAACAAAACTAATAATACCAGTGTTTACCAGAAAAGTGAAACGTGTTAGATTGAGATACGTTTCCGACTTGTTCTTTACTTTATCATTCCCTCGGATTCCGATTCATATTTGATCTGCATTTGAACTTTACCTATATATATATATATATATATATATATATATATATATATAATATATATAAATTTTGCGTTGTCACAGATTTATGTCGAGATGTATAGAGAAAAACCTGGGAATATATTGGACTCCTTTTGGTACATCAAGCATATGAAGCATGCTGCAACTGAACTGTACGGTCAGCTTTGTTTTCATAGTCCACGTGTCCATCTTCAAGCTATGATCTCAAAGTTTTTAGGTCATTGCCA